ATTTTGAAGTATGATTGGAAGTCTTCTCTATTTAACTGCTACAAGACCAAACATCATGTATGCAGTTAGTCTACTATCAAGATTCATGCAGAATCCAAGTCAAGTCCACCATGGAGCAGCTAAAAGAATACTAAGGTATTTGCAAGGTACAAAGAGCTATGGAATTTGGTACAGAGTCACAGATGACTCTAAGCTCATTGGCTACACAGACAGTGACTGGGCAAGTTCAGTAGATGACATGAAAAGTACATCTAGTTATGCTTCACACTTGGATCAGGGATATTTTCTTGGGCTTCAAAGAAGCAAGCAAATGTTGCCCAATCATCAGCTGAAGCAGAATATATTGCAGCAGCAATAACAACAAGCCAGGTTATATGGCTCAAAAGGATATTTGATGACATGGGAGAACCACAAGTTGGTGCTACTGAAATCTACTGCGATAGAAAATCAGCTATTGCAATGGCAAAGAATCCCATATTTCACAGCAAAACCAAACATATTGGCATCAAGTATCACTTTATCAAAGAAGCTAAAGGAAACAAAGAAATAGAATTTAGACATTGCAAAACTGAAGAACAGTTAGCTGACATATTCACAAAGGCTCTACCAAAAGGCAAGTTCGAATTGTTACCAGACATGATTGGAGTTGTTGAAATGTGCACCAAGGAGGAGTATTAAATGTTGCTACACATTTCCAATAATCATTGAATCAGTCCTCTCGAAAATACAGTAAAACTCTCTTCCAATGTTCGCTTCATTCCAATGTGCGTCGATTGCATCTTCCAAAGGTAGGTAGTTCCAAAGTTAGTCGTTTCAGCTCCCTAGGTGAGTTAATGTGAGCCTTTGTTCAATGTAAATCGGTTCACCTTCAACCAACTCCATCTACTATAAAAACCCCTCTTCTGTACTGATTCGGATATCAGAGAGAAATAGCATAATACATTTACAAAATCTTTTCTCTCGTTCAACTAAATTCTCTTCTGTCTTTTCTATCATATTTTTTACAGTATTTACTGTTATATCATCCGCAAACCATCATTATTACTGATCCGTTTGTTAAATTAAATCATCAGGATCACACACTGAGCTGATCAAAGACCCTGACGGAGTATATACCCAGCTGATACACTTGCAAGAAGTGAGACGAGATTCAGAACAGCAAGCTTTAAATTATGAAGACAAACAGGAAATTACAGCGGGTTCTAAGCATTCTAGCCAACGCATGTCCTTTCGCCGAACCTTAAGTCGGGGTTCATCTGGGATTGGAAATAGCAGTCGCCATTCATTCACAGGCTCGTTTGGTCTGCCCAGTGGATACATCCACGAAACTACAGAAACGGAACCCAAAACCCCACCTCCACCATTATCACGACAGATGAAGGACGTCCCACTACGACGCCTTGCCTATCTCAATAAACCAGAGATCCCAATTCTTCTACTAGGCGTTATATCAGCAGGAGCTAGTGGTGTGATACTTCCAGTTTTTGGTATACTCATTTCCAGTGCAATAAAAGCATTCTCTGAGCAGCCAAATAAGCTAAGGAAGGACTCGAAGTTCTGGGCACTGATGTTCGTCGTTCTGGGTTTGGCATCCTTGGTGTTATTCCCATTAAGGACGTACTTCTTTTCTGTGGCTGGCTTCCGGTTAATTAAACGCATCCGATCAATTTGCTTCAAAAATGTGGTTTACATGGAGATCAGTTGGTTTGATGATCCTGAGCATGCAAGTGGCGCAATCGGTGCAAGGCTTTCTACAGATGCAGCAATGGTCCGTGGTCTGGTTGGGGATGCACTTGCCCTGCTCGTTCAGAACACTGCAACTGCCATAGCTGGTTTGGCTATTGCTTTCCAAGCAAACTGGCAATTGGCTCTTATAATCCTTGTTTTGCTACCTTTGGTAGGAATTAGCGGATGGGCTGAAATGAAGTTTATGGAAGGATTCAGTGCAGATGCAAAGGTTCTTTCTGAACTCATGGTTGAAGTTCCATCTTATCTCTAATGCATGCTCAGTAACAGATAGCATTAATCTTTCAACTAAAGAAATATAATGATGATACAGCACAAGCTGGAATTCTTATCTGAACCAGAAATTAAGATCAGTTTGTGCTTGCATTGGATAGCTTTTCGATCATGTCTCAAACCAAAACCAGAATTTTACTCTTAACATATCAGATTTTCTAGTTTCTGAAGTTTATATTAGTGGGCTAGCTATCATAAATATCAGATTTTCTAGTTATCTATTCTCCAACCTATCAGATCATGTTCATTAGTTAGTGATGAAGATGCAAATTCAAACATTTGCAGAAGATGTACGAAGAAGCAAGTCAAGTTGCTAATGATGCGGTTGGGAGCATTAGAACAGTGGCTTCTTTCTGTGCGGAAGAGAAGGTGTTGCAGCTCTACAAAACAAAATGTGAAGGCCCGATGAAATCAGGGATAAGGCAGGGCTTAGTTAGTGGGATTGGGTTCGGGCTCTCCTTTTTCTTGCTGTTTAGTGTTTATTCAATCAGTTTCTATGCAGGAGCACGGCTCGTTCAGGATGGCAAGACAACATTCTGGAATGTTTTTCGTGTAAGTTGATGCTCATCTCTATCAAGATCACAAAAATTTAGAAGTTGTCAACAAAGAGGAAATATATTACATGATGATACATTGAAAATTCAGATGCTCTACCTGTTTCATTGGAATGAGATTCTCTCTCTCTCTCTGCAGGTTTTCTTTGCTCTCACCATGGCAGCTGTTGGAATATCCCAATCAAGCACCTTGCTACCTGATACAACTAAAGCCAAGGCTTCCACTGCTTCAGTATTTGAAATTGTTGACCGAAAGTCAAAGATAGATCCCAGTGACATCTCTGGAATGACACTAGAAAATGTGAAAGGAGAAATTGAATTTAGGCATGTCAGTTTTAGTTATCCTACAAGGCCTGACGTTCAAATCTTCCGTGACTTATGCTTGACAATTCATTCCAATAAGGTATTAATTCTTAGTATTTGATCCGTTACAGTTAATGTGTTTGAAAGTTAAAACTATTTTATGTTTATTTTGTCATGTAATTTTAGTTGGGCCTTTTTCACTTTTTGTTAACCTGGGTTAGTTATAACTTATAAGAGGTGTATAGAAGAAGCTTTTATTTGGTTAGCTCAAGAAGCCATCTTCTTGTATTACTCTAAGCAAGAAAACCAGCATATGTAAGAAGAAGTTTTCAGCCCTTCTCTTGCTCTGTTTTTTCTCTGTCTTACTTCAATCTGCTACATGTAAATACTTTGTTCTAGAACATTTTCTCCACTTCGCATGCACCTACAGTTAGCTGAAACTACAGCCAACACCTAACATGATCTTATCAGTAGATAGACTACAATTCTAACGCTTGTTTTCCAATTCATGTTAGTTGAAGTTTAGTGATCATATTAAACAGCCAAGAAGGCCAAAAACCTAACGTTTTAAATGAATTTCAGACTGTCGCACTTGTTGGGGAAAGTGGATGTGGGAAATCAACAGTGATCTCCTTGTTGCAGAGATTTTATGACCCTGACTCGGGTCACATTATGCTAGATGGAGTTGAAATTCAAAAGCTACAGTTGAAGTGGTTGAGACAGAAGATGGGTCTTGTAAGCCAAGAACCTGTCTTATTCAATGACACAATCTGGGCCAACATTGCATATGGAAAGGAAGGAAATGCAACAGAGGCTGAGATTTTAGCAGCAGCGGAGATGGCAAACGCCCACAAGTTCGTCAGTGGATTGCAACAGGTTAGAATACTGTAACCCAGTGGTTGCACTTTCACATAAAATGATCTTAAAACAGTTTAACCTTGCATCCTACAACCAATAAGGCCAATGGATTTGACTCCATCAATGCATTGAAATTGCAACTAGAAATGATGCAAATATTTGATTCATCAGTGTCTTTATTGGCACAGATGAGAGAAAGGTATGGAAGAAAGTTGGAGAAATTTGATCAATTGAAAACAGGGTCGAGGTGGGAGATAGAAAGAATAAGAGAACCCAACAGTAAGAGAACCCATCAGAGAGAGAGGGGGGAGTTTTTACTATTCTTAAGGATGTATCAGGCTTATCAGAAAGTATGACATTACTAGGGATGGCAATTTCTGTCCTACCAGGTGGGTACAGCCCCAATGGGTGGGTGTTTTTTGTTTTCTTTGCCTTGAAGGATGGGTTTTGGGATTCTACAACTTGTACTGATACAGGTAGGGTATGGCACTAGACTAAATCCAACCCTCACATTGTTGGAAAGCATATAAGTTTTACATGTTTTAATAAAAATAATTGAAAATTTTGATATTTATTTGTATTATTTTACTTATTTATTGCTTATATATAATAAGAAATAATAGATTACTAGATGTGGGTTCTAAACCCAATCTGCCCTATCCTTGAATGCAGGGAGTGTAAGGTCGGAGAGGGTTATACATTTTCATATGCGAGAAGGGTTTGGATTCTCAAAACCCAACCCGCTACGGGTTGAAAGGTTTAAGAAAACGGATAGGATTGAAAATTTACAAAACCCTCCCCAAACCCGCCGGTTGCCATCCCTAGACTTCTCAACTCTGTCCAACTCTATTGGTAGAATAGATCCAAACAATGACTATTTACAAACTGAAAATGCAGGGATATGATACCATGGTAGGAGAGAGAGGTGTCCAATTGTCGGGAGGGCAGAAGCAACGGGTTGCTATCGCACGTGCAATAGTGAAGGGACCCAAGATTTTACTGTTAGATGAGGCGACAAGCGCACTTGATGCTGAATCCGAGCGAGTGGTACAAGATGCACTGGACCAAGTAATGGTGAACCGAACCACAGTTGTAGTGGCCCATCGATTATCCACAATCAAGGATGCAGATGTAATTGTGGTGGTTAAAAATGGAGTTATCGTTGAGAAAGGGAACCATGAAACTCTAATCAATGTAAAGGATGGTGCTTATGCATCATTAGTATCACTTTACACGAGTGCTTCATCATCCAACTGATCCTCATTTTCTTGTAATCAGTTTCTCGTTCTAAGTTTCTAACATTTTCAGATCAAGGAGCATGGTTGTTAATTTTCTGACTGTCTTTCCTACCATTCCCTCTCGCCTGATGCAATTAGTGCTCTAGTTCCCAAATGATTTGTGAATTGGGGTAGGCTAAACAAGCAATTAATCAATGAAAGTTTAAAAAACGAATTATCTCTTTCTATTCTGATTTTATTGCTGATGGAACCTCACCAGGACCAGACAGACCTAAACCCAGTAGAAGCATTGAATGACATTAATTTCTTCTCGTATTAGTTGGATGAGGAAGGTACACCATACATGACATGAGACCAAAGAACTCTGCGCTTCCAAAAAAAAGATCAAAAAACTCTATGATACATACCTACGCAATTTGACATACTGAAGCATATTTGGGACTCGGAAAGTCCTCATATAATTAGCAAAATGTGCTTAAAGAGTTGATTGATTTCCAGAGTGAAATATAATCAGATAACATGAATAAAGTTAGGAGGTCAGCTATCATCATCTTCACTCTCATCACTGTATGACACCAGACCTCCGATTCCGAGACCGAGAGCCCCCTTAAAAATCTCAGTTGACTTGCCAGTGTCATCGTTAGTTGTTTTTACATTGTCTGAAGATTTTTCTGAACTCATTTCATCTGCCTTTGCCTTCTTTGCCTGTGGTTGGACTTTAATAATCAATCCTCCTAATGGGCGAGCTGGTGGGTTCTTCCTTGCAAGTGGCTTATGTTCCTGCAAGTAGCCAAGTATAAATGAATTTCTAATTTGATTGGTAGGATAATAAGAGGTGCAAATCAGATATATTCCAAGGAAAACAGACCAAATACTCAGCAATGCAGACGGACTAGACATGCAAAGGGTGATACCATACAGTATACAAGAAAACTGAAAGTTTCACATGTAACACACAGCTTTTTAAGAGTAAAAATATGGCAGTTGATCTGTAAATGGCTCTGTGAAATAGATGATTATGACTTATGAGACCTATGTGCATGATGCATCTACAATTATATCATGATAAAAGCTCTTGATTGATTTTTAAGGTGTTTCTTGTTTCTTTCTTTCATGAATCTTCTCCTGTTCTTCCCCTCTCCTTTTATTTATTTATCTTTGCTTCTTTTTGTTTCCCTTATATTTTCTCTATAGCATACAAGAATATATTGACAACTGACCTCAACTTTAGGTACAGTAGGTGTTTCCTTAAGCTCATATACAATGGATGACTGGGCTGCCACTGCTGCCTGAAAATGAAACCACAACAGTGTAAGCATGATAAGAATAAAAAGAAGCACCATCTTATTCAAGAAACCATAGGATCTAGCATTCCAACCAAAAAAGAGGCCAAGATAACTCATAGGCCAAACATAGATGCCACAGCCCAAGATCCAAGCACAATTTTTAATAGACTATGTTCATCTCATCACATTATCTAGCCATGTAAAGATGATTAGGATAATATGGACAGTAATCACAATACTTCTCAGTAATGTAATAAAAAAAAAATCATTAGGCACTTATTACAATAAAAGAGAAAGAAATGCAATAACCATTAACCAACATGCAAAATGTCAAACTAACATTAATTTGCAATATCTGTTTCTTTTCAAGTTATTCTTTTATTAGCTGCTACCCTTTAAGAATCACATTCCATACCAAGGAAAACAAAGCAAACTAAAATGTTCCCAGAAATATGTCAATTTTTTATTGGACCCAGAAATATGTCAATGCATATTTATTTGTCTTAATACATAAAACATCTAAAACTAAAACTAAAGATAGGCTAGCAAACTTACCTGGAAACTTCGGAGTTGTTCAGCTTCTTCATCAGCCACTTGCCGCTCATATTCCCTCCTTGACTACATAAAACAATCATCAAACTCAAGAAAGGGAAGGAAAAAAACTTGTGGAATGAAACTGCCTACTTGAAAAAATTCACTTGAAGACACAGTTACAACTGAACTTTGTTGCATTGCTGGTGCTTTTTCTTACAGTGCAAGAGGAACCAACACGCATTCAAGCAGATAAGGTTTTTCTTTTTTTAATTGGTGATGCATGCATACAAGTACACCACTCATGAACATGCAATGTCCATAGACAATAAACATAGCAGAAAGTGCAACCCAAAGTTTACCAATATATAAAGCATATTATGCTCCATGAAAGATGAAAATGATCAATGAAAACACAATGTCCATTTATTTGTAACAGTTGTATTAGTTATATGTCACATAAACCCATGCACAACATCATCATGTAAGCCTTGTAAACTGTATGGGGTCAACCACATGAATCCTGTTTTACCATTCTGTTCTTTTCAGTGCCATATCCATTGTTAAATTATGAGTACATAACACCATATCAAAGCAATCCCAACTTAACTATGCCTTCTCGCAGCTATTTAAGCTTAGATGATTGAAACTTGCTCCTCCACAGAAACAAATAAAACAGGCAAAATAATTAACCCCTACAGTTTAGGTTAGAAATGGAAAAAATCTCAGAAAACCCACCATGTATCAACAAATATAAAAATAGTCATAATTCAGTTTAAGTTGGTAGAACTGTACAACAGATAATAATAATCTGGCTTAAGTAGGTACTACAAAGATTAAAAAACACTTTTCAGTTTTAGGTATTTTTATAATAGTAGGTCACCTTAACCAAATTAACCTGCCCAAATTATAGTCAGAAGATAGTATCCATTTGTCTGGACTTTAATTAATGACTTGTCAAAAGCGGACTCCAACAATAGAATCTATGAAAACTATGAAAATATCACTAAAGCAATTAAAGTGGCATAAAAATATATTTCTTCATAGTCAGCATGTTCAAAGCATAATAGTAACAAGATATCCAATATATAGACATCACTTATGGATGAATTAACTAAAAGCATTTTCAAGAGGCAATCTGATGGGGATCGGTCCATGCATTAAGACCTATTCTCGTAAGAAGGCCAACAAACAGGTTCTGATTTGGTATGGAGAAGACTCTTGGGACTTGGACTGATCTGGTCAAAGGTATTTTCGTCATTTTGTCCAGCCCAATGTGGACTTGGGCTATAGCATCTTGTTCCTATAGCTTAGTAGTGCTTGTCTTTCAATTTTCAGTTTCTTTGCATTAGTAGATAGAAAGTTATTGTATTTCTTGATGCACAAGACAAAGAGTGGCACTTTTTGTAGTTATGGTGAACAGTGTTCCGGGCCACACAAGTCACTCTATAAATAGATGTATTCTCTTTCTTTTGAGGCTAATGAATGAATGAAGATTTCTTAAGAGCTCTCTTTCTGCATGGAGTGATTCCTACAAACCCTAGAGTGATTCTAGGACCCCTTGGAGTGATTCCTTGGGATTTCTTTCTCTTTTCTCTTTCTCTACCCTTTCTACTCTCTCTTCCTCTCTCTTTCTGTCTTGTGTTAGTTTCTTCCAGCCCTACTGCATCACAATCCTAACGTGTTGATAATATAGTCTTCATGCTAAAGATATGTTAAATGCAAAGCTAGAATGCTGGACACCAAAAGGTTTTAAAATAAGCCAGACCAAGACACAGTACATGAATTGCAATTTTGATAGTCCAATAGTCCAAGTCAACAAGCCCAAATGAGATTTATTGACACATTGAATATATTATTTTAATATATTAAAATACTGAACTTTTCTTAGCAGAGATTATTTAGCTATTTAAATATAACATCTGCTACTTTGCTTAATTGCTTTATAACACAAGTCCATCAGATCCTACTTGCCACTGCATTTTTCTACTTTCCTTTTCTTCTTCCTTTATCTTGTTTGTTTATTTCTCTGTGTGTCTGGGCATGCAGGGGAAAAATAGCATAGAGAACCCAACATCTGGCGATATCTACAATGAACAAAAGTAATTGCAAATTGGCATAAAGAATAAATGACTTTGCAGGAACAGATAGACATAGCAAGCATGGAGAAAGCAACATTTCCCTGTGAAATACTACAACTACATTGTATGCAACCACCTACCTTCAAAAACTGTCTACCAATGTCACAACAACAAAATATTGAACATTTTTTTGGAATTGTTATTGATCATTCTCAAATTCATTATTATAAGCAATAGTAAAATGGCCTTGTGCTTCAAATAGCAGGCATTCCACAATTATGATCCTAGCCTGTTGGTGCTGGCAAGTGAGCAACACATTGTATGCAACCACCTACCTTCAAAAACTGTCTCTACCAACCATACAAGCAAGTGAGCAGCAATAACTTTAAGGGAACACCAATGTCACAACAACCAAATATTGAACAATTTTTTGGAATTGTTATCGATCATTCTCAAATTCATTATTATAAGCAATAGTAAAATGGCCTTGTGCTTCAAATATAGGCATGCCACAATTATGATCCTAGCCTGTTGGTGCTGGCATACCCAGTTAGCTAATTGCTTTAAAACCCAAGCTCACCATCTCCAATTTGTCTAGGAACTCTGTCTCATCCTCATCAAGGGCTTTGGGTGGTCCTGTAATTCAAATAGTCCACTTATCAGCTTGTCACATACACATGATATACATTCACAAATCCCAATGATGCAAAAAGTAGAGCATCCACTATCCCATGTCATGTATCAACTACTTGGGAAGTTGGACTTCCTAAGGAAGAAAAAGATGCAAACACCTCTAGACTGTCACTCTACCTATGGCCTAATAATTTTTTGCTCTAGGCACTTGTAGGACAATCTAAAACGTCAATGTCAAAACTTGAGAACTTGTTTCATTTTAGTGAGTTAGTCTCATAAATCATAATAGGGTACATTCAACTAAATATTCAGCAAGCCCAAGATCATGAGGTTCAAACATGAATAAAGTGAGTTATCACCAAAATAGGGACAAGGTATGGTTTTGTGACAGAAATTACCATTTTAGGGGTTATTTGCAATTTTAGATTAGTCTTATTAGTTCTCTACCAAAAAAAAGATTAGTCTTATTAGTTGTAGGAATCGTTGCACAAGTGTTTCAAAAATGAATTTGGTTTTAGGCTGCATTGTTTTCATTTAAAAGGGTAGGAAAACAAAATTTTGGCCATAAAAGTGACATAAATATAATTAAAATGTTATAGAATTGAAAGATCATCAACCCATTTATGATGAAACAAACAGAGCCTCCGAGGCAAAAGTTATCAGTCTTTGGATCTACCATATAAGCTTTTAGAAGTCTTGGTTACATTTGAAATCCTTTGTATTTATGCATACGATGTTCAAACTTTACAAGTCCTTTAGATGGAGGAAATAAGTTTACATATGGTCTAAAATGTTGCTAAAAAATGAGTATGAGTTTGAGAACAAAATTGTCTTCAGTTCTCCTCTTGTGTGGTATAGATTGTAAGAATTCCCAGTGATTTAAAAAGCAGCCTAGGAACAAGTGTTTGGGTTATGGTTGAGCTGGCCCCGGGTGCCACGTGTCACCTTTGCGGCCGCCTTATCACTTCGGCCACGTCAGCACCACATCATATGGATAAGCATGACCAAGATAGGAGATCGTCGTACAGATGAGGACAACTCCGCTAGGGATTAGGTCTTATCCCAACGACCTTAGCAGGCAACCTCATGCTGACATCCCCGGAAGCCTCATCCGACTAGGACACAAATCTTCGACTATAAAAAGGCACCTCCCGCTCAAGGTAGGGGATCCGACTTTTGACTTCCATACCATTACTCTACTCGAACAAGCACCATTCTCTAACTGCTCGACCCGACCGCCCACTATTCTCGACTGACTTGAGCGTCGGAGTACCTACCCGGGGATAACTCCTCGGGCCTCTGACTTCATTCTTGGTTTCAAATCTTGGAGCGTGGCATCTTCCTTCCAACTCGGCTCCGCCCAGTTGGCAAGATAATCTGATTGCAACCTCGGTTCAAGAACTACCTCGAATCAAACAGCACCAGCTTGGCACCGTCTGTGGGAATCGCACAAAAAGCCATTCCAAATCTTCCTTCCGCACAATCAAGAAAGATGCCAAGAAACACATTTGAACGATCAACAGGCCAATCTCCATCTCGGGGATCCCACTCTCACCGCAATCCTCCACTGTGCGAGTCACCAAAGTCCTCGGACCCAGTACCTACAAATTAGAAGACCTCGACGGAAGGCTTGTACCGAGGAGTTGGAATACCGGGAACCTACGAATGTGCTACCAGTAGTTCAAGATCAATAAAGATAGAATTTTTTGGCACTCAGTTGTTCAACACACATTGCACGACACGCACCGCACAACACACACTGCATGACACATCGCACAACATACGTCGCGCAACACACATCGTCCAGCCGAACTCTCAAACGGTTGGAACACCCGTGCACTGACTCAGCTAACCCTTAAACAGTCAAAGCCTACAACACATAGCCACGCGCTAGCTCGGCAACACATAACCAATCAAGTAAGTTGACTCAGCCAACAGTGGCCAGAGCCCAAAGCGGGGAAGAACGCTCCCGCCTCCAAAGGCCAGAGCACGGTCACCTAACTCCGCACCCTGATAACGAACCGTCAGACCAGAGCTAGCCAAGGAACGGCCAACCTAGTAAGAGCGTAAGGCTCTTCGAGATCAAATGCAAACTAAGCATCCCCAAACGACGAGAAATCGGAAGCATTTCGACCAACGAAAGCTAAAGACTGAAGACCTCGGCCAGGAGAAGGCGAAGACCCACAACTAAGTTCGACGAAAATATCAACGAGAAAGCTCAACACCCATTAACCACAAAAGCTTGGAAATATGCAAGGAACATAAGCTCAAAACCAAAAAGCGTCTTTTCTATTAGTTATCAGAAATTTTTACGTGTAAAAGCTCGACATACCAAGTTGTGTACATCAATAACAAAAAATAGAACAAGCGTCGAAAGAACAAAACAAAGTTGGCAACAACGATAGCAAGCGAACACCTCACTCCTTGGTAGGGCGCTCCTCAGCCTCCTCAGGCACGTAGACAGCAACGACGTTATCCTCAGTAGGGGTATCGGGATCATACGGGCCTAAACCCTACACAACTTTGACGGCATCAGGAAGCCAACACAAGACCTTGTCCCAACAGAGGTAGAACCCCGCCTCCCAGAAGCGCGACGCAAAGTAGTCCATCTCGTGGTGGTACTCCTCCGAGGCCTTGAACCGGGCAACAATCCTCTCCGGCCCGGGCCACTCGCTCATTGGCCTCCTTCTTCAGCACCTCTTGCATGCCCTTGAGATCGGTGACACGGCTCTTCAACTTGCGGACAGTGTCAAACCGTTCCTCGATGTCAGGCTTTAGTTCAGTATTCTCAGCCTCTAGCGCGGCCAACCTCGCACTCGTAGCCTCAAGCTCGGCCAACCGAGCCCTTGTACGTTCGACCTCGGCCTGCTCTATCTCGTAAAGATGCCTCATCGTCCGAAGATGATCGATCACTACAATCGTTGAGAGCAAGCACTCTACAAAAACGAAACAAGTGTCAGTACAGCGAAAATAACCAACCAAAGCAAAAATAACTAAGGAAGACTTATCGACGCCATCTGAAGCACGAGCCCCGCTACTTAACTCCACGGGAACGCCTGTCGTCTCAAGACTATCCTCAGTCCGAACGCTCCACTACAGCATGTAAATAACCGGATTGCAACCCTCTGATGTGTTGTCCCGCAAGGGGGTGGACGGCCTGAGTGCCCTCTTCTGGGTCAACTACCATGACCTCTTCCTCGGCCTGCCTCGACCTCTTCTACTACCCGGGAGTCCGCTCGGCAGACATCGGTTGCACTCCCTCGGACTGAGGCTAGGCCCCCTGAACACCTCGGCTGCGCCTATCCGCCGCAGCCCTCATGCGACAAATAATCTCCTCATGACTCACCATCTCAGGACCTGCACAAATCAAGAAACAAATCAGTACCAAGTCAAACAGCTCAGAAAAGAAAAGGGATCAACAAAGCCAAAGCGACAAACAGACCGGCTTCCTCGCTCATCAGCCCGGTGTGGACCAACATCGAGAAGGACGTATAATGCATCATATGGACCTCCTCAATCATTCCTATCGATGCCCTCTCTTCCTCGGTGAGTTGGGCCAAATCGGGCTGCTTCACCTTTTGTCCTTGACTTCTGGAGCTCGGCCAACAGAGGTGAGCCTCCAGAACAACACACAAAGAAGAACTTCTCCTTCTAGTGCTTCACCGAGGACGGGATCCCAACCAACACCTTGATGCGTTGCCAAGCTGAGAAGTAATAATACCCCTGTTGGTGGTGCTTCAGCTAAAGGAAATAGAAAACCATCCCCAGGGTAATCTCGAGGCCATGGTTGAAGCAATAGGATAGAAGGCTGATCAGGAACCTAAAGGAGTTCAGCATCAATTGAACAGGCAGTACCCGATACCACCTGAACACCTCGATGACCCCCTCACTCAGTGGAAATCTTAGCCCGGATATCAGGCTATGCTCATGCACACAAAGCTCGCCCGGCCAAGCATCCATGGGCCTCTTACCAACTCTTGGACACCTAACTTCATACTCCTCCGGAATGCAATACAGTGCTCGAATCCAGGCTACATCCCCGGGTGTCAAGCAGCACGGCATGGCCCCAAACCAATGACCAACACGCATAGGAAGGTCGACCTCCCTAGTCGACAGACCTGCCTCAGCCTCCTCGGCTTGACAACCCGCTTAGGACCAAACCCCACAAAGTCCCAAGCTCCGACTCAGAACAAGAAAAGGAAGCAAAAGAAGAAGCACAAGAAGAGGAAGAAGAGCGGGAGAAGTCAGCAGACGAGGAAGACATCTTACCAAACTTTGAAGGTTAAGACTACGGAACTGAAGCAAACACCGGGTAGCCAAAGACTACTTCTCGTCGAGCTTTGCAAGTACTACCCTCGCAAATGACAAAGGGGAAATGCTCTTCACCCCCTTTTATAGGGCTTCCAACAACCCAAATCAACGGCATAGTTCAAACGCCACCCTCTGACCTTCACACGCGTGTAACCTTGAGAAGGCAAAGCGCCATTTCCGTCAGCATGACGCGAGCGTCAAGTCGGTCGGTTCGCCCAGAAATTTGGTTCAATTCTGAGTTCCTCTACTCAAATGGTGTGCTCAACCAACTTCAGACTTAAGTTCCTCAGCCGAGAACCAAAGAGCTCTTCCACACCACACTGCGGCCGAACACTACACTCCTCGACTTCGGAACTGGAGGAATGGTGTTTGGGTTATGGTTGAGCTAGTCCCGGGTGCGCCGTGTCACCTCCGCGGCCGCCTTATCACTTTGGCCATGTCGGCACCATGTCATATGGATAAGTGTGACCAAGACAGGAGATTGTCGTATGAATGAGGACAACTCCGCTAGGGATTAGGTCTTATCCCAAAGACCTAGGCAGGCAATCTCATCCCGACAACCCCGGAAGCTTCATCCGACCAGGACATGGATCTTCGGCTATAAAAAGGTACCTCCCGCTCAAGGTAGGGGATCTGACTTTTGACTTCCATACAGTTACTTTACTCGGACCAGTACCGTTCTCTAACTGCTCGGCCCAACCACCCACTAATCTCAACTGACTTGAGCATCGGAGTACCTACTCGGGCCTCTGACTTCATTCTTGGTTTAAGATCTTGGAGTGTGGCATCTTCCTTCCACCTCGACTCTGCCCAATTGGCAGGATTATCTGACTACGACCTCGGTTCAAGAACTACCTCGGATCGAACAGCATCAACAAGTGAGGTGCATTGTAAAGTATGAAAAGTTGAGTGCTGGCATGCCTTGCACCTCAGCTCAGGCTTTGCTAAACTTTGCGCTTTTTGAAACACAGTTGCTTGGCTGGGAGCTCTGCCCCTGTACCCCAAACAAGTCTATGTTAGGGTCTTAAATTCTTAATCCCTACAAAAAAAGACTTGTTTGGGCTTGGTACAAAGGTGGCTCAAAGAATTAAGAATGAAAGATGTTTAACATCATATTAGCTATTTGAAATAATGTAATCGGGAAAGAAATAACGTTGCACTTTTTTTTATCAGCAACAGCTGCAATACAAAAAAAAGATTTTATTAATTAGAAGAAAACAGGATTACAACAAGAAGTTGTGAAAGAAACCAACTTTAGAAGTTGTCCAAATACAAATTACATTTGAGCCCAAAACATATATGTTCTATGTACCCATTGCTTGGCTAGGCTATCTGCCAAGCCATTGGCAGTTCTCCTCACCCATCTCACTTGGATTGACATGTCCTGTGACAACCATTTGAATTTCTTAAAATCATTCCTCAAATGCTAAGCCACCCCCTCCCTCTTAACCAGCCACTTAACCACAGTTTTTGAATCTCCCTCAATAATCAGCCTACTAATACCCAGTTCTTTTGCCTTCTCAACCCCATAAACTGCAGCCAAAAACTCTGATCTTGCCACATCACCTTGCTCCACAGGGCCAAAGTATAAAGCAACTATGTTCCCCTCTTCATCCTTAATTCCCCCCCCCCTATACCTGAGGGGCCCAGATTACCAAAACAGATCAAAGTTCAATTTCTTCCAGCCAATTATTGGGGGAGACCAAGTCCCAACAGATCTTTGTCTTATGGTTGAGGATGCAGCAATAACACCCCAAGCTCTGAAGAAGTCTTCGATCTTGAAATCTAAGAACAGCTTCAAACTCTTTGCCCAATGTGCCACCCTCAAGGTAATTGTTTCTACCAAGGCTTCCTTCCCCCTCTCCTTTTCTTCAAATATTCTTGCATTTTTTTCCTCCCATACAGTCCAAAGTAATGTTTCTCTAGTGCAAAGTTGCACATTTTTAATTAATAACTATTTTTAATTTTAATGTTTTCTTGATATATTTTGATTTTGTTTTAAAATTTTGTGCCTTGCTTCAAAAAGGCATGCACCTCACCTTGCGCATCAGGTGCAAAAATGCCCTTTGCACTTTTAACACACTGGACACTTTGAAGATGCAAACTCCGCAATGGTGAAATGAGATGATTCCTAGTACAATCCCTTTATGCTAATTCCTTGAGGATGTTAAGTTGAAAAACCCTAGTAGAAGATCAACCAAAGGTGTCACATCCTAGTTGAATCTCTAGGTGCCAATTCCTAGGTCGTCTGGACCTGATATTTCTAGACTCTTGAGCTCTTTGATTCTTAATTTGTTGGGTTTTTTGGTAATAAATAAAAGAAAAAATTTTATTAATAAGAAAAAAAAGACATCAAATAGGGTGATGAGAAATCACCAATACATACAACTCCAAGTCTCCAAGATGAAGTAAATAAAAAAGCATCCCAAAGAAACGAATACACAAAGTTAATTTGTTGGGTTACTACTGTATCTTCCCCATTTAGACATTTTAAATTATCACCTTTAAATGGCTTCTAATCTTCCCACAGAGACAGGGCATTTTACATTACAAATGTCATAAACATAACATGTTGGAAAGATCCTTGGACTGGGATGTTACAATTTTCTATATACTAACTAACGAAATTAAAATATTAAAAAAAAAAAAAAACTTGGCATGAATTGGATATAAACAGGCTTTTTTTTCTCACATGAAAAGTATTAACATGCCAAACACATTAGAAGTTAGTTGAGTTAAATGAGAAAACAATTCTGCTCAATTAATTGGTAGTCTCCACAAGTTCAGTATAAATAAATACAAATCAAAGAAGACAGACATGAAATCCACTGAGGCTAAATGATCCACAAGTCATTGACCTAATGCTTAATGGTAGGCATCTTAAGCTCCAACATAACACTAAGATGTTTCTACTTAATGAGTAAAAATTAATAAATATCTTTTCATCAAATTGAGTTAAGACTACTTACTGTGCTTAAACCGTTCATTGAATTCTGCATCTCGCTTGTCTTTATTCTCCTTTAAGATCTGCAGCAAAAGAATAACTAATTAAAACCAATAAACATGTGAGACCTTTTGTGCTAATAAAAACATTTCCCTAATTTCCGCTATGTAAAAAGATCAGCCGTGCTAAGGCAAAAAAAAACACTTTTTAAAAGACATTAAACCAGATTCAATCTTTTCTGATGCTATAAAGAAGCCTTTGCTCACACAGTTCACATCAGAAAATGATATAGATCTAGGTAATGGTCAATATACATTGCTTCCCTTGTACCTAGCAAAACTTAAGAAGAGACGTCACTTATGTATGCTTCCAGAAAGATGGAATGACGAGTCCAGAAACAGAAATTAGCTTGCCGTACCACTCAAAGAAAATACCTGTGTAGAATCAATATGTTCCATTTGCATATATATTACTTACCAACGCCATTGCGCACGAACTTAGAAGAAGGAATATTATTAGAATCTAACATGAACGTATAAGAAATTTCAGTCGAGAAATCAAATCTTCCACTTAAATCATTAGTTTTTTTTTAACGAAGTGCCACTTTCAACTTCTTTTTTTCCTTTTTAAATGACAGACATAATTAAATACATTATTTATCATTTAATCAGATAGGTAGGGGAAATCATACTAAACGCGTTTTGAAATTAAAAGAAAATATGAATAAAACCTCATAGAGCGGTTTGTCCCTCTGAGCAGTGCCATCTTCAACTCGCTCGCCCCTAGTTTTCTTAGCTTGATCCAACTGCAATGCCCAAAAAGAATCAGATAAATATATCAAAAATTAGGTCTGAACTTGAGGTTTGAGGTTTTGAGCATAATAACTTCGACTCCCAGAGTAGAACTAGAGACTAGGGTTTCCAGACGGAACTGAATCATAATAAACATTCGATAATTAAGGCTTAGGGTGACCAAGACCTGTTCCTCCGAGACGAAGTTCATCAACCTGATAGGGGCATTAGATTCCTGCTCCATGTCGATTCGTTCCCTCTTTTTTACGTTTTCCTTTTTACTCGAAATTCAATTTTTTCCTTCTTTCGGTCCTCTTATAGTCTGATCTGACTCTGAAGTTGGAGGGTGGGTGGGTGAGCGGGAGCCCTCTTTTGATGCCGGTGGATAAACAAAGCAAACTAATTTAGTGTGATTTAATTAATTAATATAACTTAATTGATTAAATATGGTAAATTAATTAGTCTAATTAAATATATAACTTAGATTAATTACTCAAATTTTAGAATAAATAATTTTATAATTATAATTAATATAAATATTTTATTAAACGTACAAATAAGAATATTTAATTTTTTACCACCATGTGCGATGCATATGCTTTGTGGTAAGGGGAGAGAAGAGGGATGGTGGGGGATAATGGAGGAAGGAGAGGCATGGTGACGGGACTGTGTATAGGCTTTCTTAAGCGAAAGTTAAATAATAAAAATACATAAGAGTATATAATTATTTTATATTTTAACTTTTTAATAAACATTTTGATCAAACTCAACTCAAGTATTGAAAACTCTTTAACAAATTTCTATAAAATTGAGAATTATATTTAACAATTATTAAAAAGTATAAAATTTTAGTTATTGTTATTATTACAATTACTAACCAAATACAAATGGGGGAACAAAATATTATAATGTTAGAAAATGAAATTATTAATTAATTTATATTGAAAAGTAAAAGATAAATTAGTGTAATTTTGTTAGTAAACTATCAAATAAAAATATAAATTTAATAACAATTTAAAAAAATTCAATAAATCCCCATAGTTACACAAATGTAATAAATTTTTCAAAAAAATTCATAAAACTACATTTTCGTAAAATAAAATTGTTGAAATTAAAGATATAAAGTATTTGAAAGTTTATCTAAACTGCATTAAATAATTATTGAAAATTATTAGAATACTTTGGAAATTTTAGGAAAATTTATTACATTTGATAAATTTTGAAAAACCATTGAAAAAATATGTAATTTTCATTGCAAATTATTGAAAATTATTAAAGATAAATGACTATGAGAAATGAAAAACTATAATTTGAACAAATAATTACACAAATTATTAAGATAAATTAGTATAATATTGGAAAAAAGGAAATTATTGGTTAGTTTATATTATAAATTATAAGATAAATTAGTATAATTCTATAAGTAAACCATTTAAAAAGAAAATAAATTATTTAATAAAATTTAAATAAATTTGAATAAATTTTCAAAACTACACAAGTACAATAAATTTTCCAAAATTTTCATAAAACTACATTTTTGACTATTAAAGACAATTTAGTGTACTTTTAAAATTTACCATGTGGTTGATACTCAATATATCTTTTTGATCATTTCAATCATCAAATTGAATATTGGGTTGACAGGGACATTGTTTTCAAAACTGGATCAAACCAGATGGTTAGACCAAAAAAATTAGGAATCGGACATCGTTTCACTTCAAAACTGCTTTTTGTCCAAAAACCGTTTATTTGGTTAGCGAACCGCTGACCTCGACGGTCGAACCGTCAATCCAAAAAATAGTTTTTGGCCTTTTTTGTTTTTTTTTTGTTTTGTTTGTCAGAGCGGGCCATCTGTTCGGACCGTTCGACCCCAAAACAGTTCCCTATCCGGTCCAATTTTAAAAAGCTTAAACAGGGAATGGGTGCCTTGCCTCGAGCTTGGCTTGGTGTGCGACATGGCCTGGCCCAAGGCTCGACCCATGGCACAATACGGGCCCGTGCGGGCTTGGGCCATGGGCCGTGCCGAACCGACCCCCCAAATTATCCTAGAGGACGAAGGCACGGCCCAAGACACCTCGTGGGCCAGCACGGCACGACTCGCACTTTATGCGGGTCGTGTTGAGCCGATCCGGCACGACACAATTTACACCTTTACTTGAACCTGCCCAATATTGGGGACAGGGCAAGGAAATTTGAGGATTCTCCATCCTTGGTGAGGAGTGGGGTGTCTTGCCCCTGAACTCACCCAACATTGAGGAGTGATTACCTTGCCCTGAACCCGTGTGACACTGAGGACGGGGTAGGGATGGAGTAGAGTGTCTTGACTATGGGGCAGGGAAAGGGATGGGGTGCCCTGCCTTGACCCCACTCCATTGCCATTCCTATATAATTGTTAATTATTAGTGGAATTAATAAAAATGTTAGCTTTTGTAATTATTTTTATTTATTTAAAGTTAATCAAAATTTCATTTAAAAATAATAAGAAGAATAAAAATTATTAAAATTACTACAAATTATTAATAAAACTAAATTTATTAAAAAATATTTGTTCATATTCAATTAACAATAATTATTTTTTTATAAAATCAACATTAAATGAAAAATAAAATTATTAAATCTTCCAGATTTTTTCATGCATCGCACAAGTCCCTACTAGTTGTATAGTATTGGAGGGGTTGGGGGGAGGAAGGGGTAGAGGGTGGGGAGGGAGTGGTTGAATTCTTGTAGGGAGGGAATTGCATGCATTACCTTGGCATAGGAGAAGTTATTGGCAAATTACAATTTGGACAAGTGAAACTATTGTCAACCAATGTGGCCTTTTTTTTTACAAATGGAACATGCATTGTACTAGAATCCTTGATAGACATTAACAAATGTGATGTGCCCAATAATTTGATATCAGTCTTGTTGTACCTAACAAACATCACCTTAGAAAGTATTAGTAGGTGGAATTGTAATTGTAGGTTTCTTGTTTCTTACTAGGAAGAGCATACCTAAGATGTTTTAGAACCTCACAAAGAGTTGAAAGATGAAAGAGTTATTGGTTTTGCTATTACATGTGGTGATTGTGGCCTAACATTTTGACGGTATTGAACTATCTTTTGGAGTTCGTCATTTTCTTTTACCCTACAATGGAGTTTATAGGATGTAAGATATGTAACTATATAGTTTATAATTGGCAAATTACCAAGATTGGAGTTCTTTTGCTTCATTGATCGCTAGTGATGAAGGGTGATTTGGCCCGACCTAGTAAAAAGGGGACACGTGGATACGACCTGACCAAGAGACGACAACTCAGCCTGACAATTTCAGTTTGTAACAATTGAGCTCGCGTATTCAGCCACCTCGGCACAAAGGCCATCTCAGCTTAAGGCTCACCTCGGAGTAGGGCCACCTTGGTGCAAGTCTCACCTCGGCATCGAGGCACCTCGGTATTCAAGCCAGTTCGGAACTAAAAGACCAAAGTACCAGTAACTCGAATCGCCAAATAACTGACTCCCGTGTAACCAACTCTAGAGGTCTCTCCAACAAATCCCGAATCCCTTGAGATCACGATGAATTAACAGAACCCGACTTTCCAGGGATCACGATGAGGACTTATCCTGACTCCACCGGAACTGAAAGTGGGATGAGATAAGCCTTACTTGTATATTGCTCCTTCGGAAGCGGAGCGAACTCTATCTCCACATCCCGGATATCCTGGAACTTTTTCGTGTGCCCCACGACTACTCAACTATATAAAGGCTCCAACTCCGATGGCATAAGGTACGCGTGATTTTTCTGCTCTCTAGCTCTCTAGCTCTCTACACTTTCAAATCTCTCTAGCTCGCACCAGATTACTAACTTAAGCATCAGAGCGACCTTGTCAGGTTAGCCACCCCGGGTTCTCTGATCCTTTCTTGTAGATTTGCTTAGCTTGCCGTCCGACTGGAAACCAGATCATCCTCCGGTAAAGAGCAGTCAAATTGCGCTACATCACTTGGATTCCGAAGTATTTGACTATATTTAACAGTTGAAATTGACAAACCTAAAAAGATAAACAAAGAGAAAGAGTGATAAGTATAGAGTGGCAAGGTATGTAACGGTAGAGAAGTGAATGCATTTACGATGATATGGAATTACTTTAACTATTGATGCCAATAGGGTGATGTAATCATCATTCACTTGAAGAAGCATTACTATGTCAATGTTTCCATTTGCATCCCAAAGGGTCAACGTGATAAGAACCATGCTATCAAGTACCATAATTGTAGAGGAACAAGGTTATTAGTATATTCATGTGATGAATTAACATATAACAAAGTATTATTGTACCTATAGTTAATTTCCTTTTCTTTAAGTTGGATGCAATTGTTGATTGTTGGTTTATAGAAATGATTATTCTAATTTATTTTTTCAAAAGTGCTGATAGAGTACCAATGAAGATCTTATGTTTCTTGTAGTCTAGTAATTTGTCGAATTTCAAAAAATTGTATTTGTATAATGGAAAACCTGGACAATCATCGACAACTTCGAAACTAGAAGTATTGGATGTAAATTGTAGTTGGACATTAGCCCTTACAATTATAATTATGAACTCGTAATCCATAGAGACAGTTCGAATGCACTTGAATTAATAGACCTTGCCATTAATGAGCTAGGGCCCAAATCTATCAATTTCATTAGTATACATCTTAACTTCTATATTGGCACCCTGTTGAAGTAATATTTTATAAATTAATATTATTTTTGAAGAAAAGATATTTATTGCTGCAAAAAAAAAAATGAATGTTGTACCTACATTTGAATCCACGAAAATCATTCTCCAAACTCTTTCCATATTGCCTCGCCTTGAGAATGTGTATGTGCCAATGCTCCTTAGAAGCCTGAAATTCATCCTATATAAGAAAAAATAAGAAATTATGTTAGGTTTATATTTAGGGCAAATTTCTTAAACTATTCCTAAGGTTTAGGAAAATGACTAACTATACCTTTATTATTTCAGTATTGTTTTAAAGTACCCCTACTATTTGTTAGACAATGTATGTCTTTAGCTCCAATCAGCATGATGTACATTATGACATTTATTGTAAATAAATAAAGTACATATTTGATTCATGTTATTGTGGTGTGTTTCTATGTAATACCCTTAAACTGGACACATATGAGATTCGCGTTCTTTTAGAATCTTCACAGCCATTGGATGGATCGGGGGAGATTTATCTTGCCAAGGCTGACACTGATGTACCGCCAAGTTGGTTGGGGTGGTTTGTCTCAGCTGCTAGGGTGAGACCTAGGGTACATGCAATGTGGGTTTTCTTGAAACCCTAAATCGGACCAAAAATCTAGTATTGCCCTAGACCTTGGAGATAAATGGG